GTAGACCGCTGGATGGAATGGACTTGTTCTGAGGACGGGTTGCTGCTGGATTAACGATCATTTGGGCTTTTGTTTATTAACACGCGCTGCCCTGGAAGAGGTCCGTGTTACCTCAACAATTACGCTAGTTTTGTTAATTTAATTACGGTAGTGTTTGCTTATACATAATTACCTTGGTTCTAATGGATTCCCACTTGGATTCCCACCGCCCTCAAGGTGAACTTTGTCTTTTCCAACTGGATCAGAGAGCGGTTTCACAAGAGTGAGACTTCAGTACATCAAACAAAACCTCGACTCTGCCGAATTTAATATTTTCGGAACTCACAAGATTCACCAAAACGTGCTTGGTCAGCAGTGTACCGGAGGTTAGCAGACCCCCTTTTTTCTGGTGCTTTCCTATGTGTATTTAAACAAATGAAGCATGTATGAAACACGTCAATCGCGGTTGGTTATTTTCTCCGATGTTTCGTCGCTAAGGCTGCCACGAGAATAGCAATTCAGTAAGTGGCCAATTTGTTGTAAACAAACCAGTTTATATGTAAGATCACCTAAGACTGTGAGGCAGCTGCCGGTAGAACTTGTGTATATTTACCAACATTTCAGATCAAAAGTCAATGATCAAAGTGGATTTTAAACCCGCTTTGAGGCTGGTCAGAAAAGAAAGTGCTCCATGCTTTTCATCACCATTCCCCACCCGTATTTCAGATCAACATTCACAGAATCATGCTAGAGAGATTAATATGATAAGAGGTGTAAGATGCAACAAAATATCATTCAAATAACTGAGACCTAACGCACGTACTTCTGAGATATTGCAGGGCTTAATTTTGGATATTTTCATTTATAATGTCGTATTATGTAAGTTTTCAAGTGACGATAAGGTGTTTTTTCAGTTTCTCAAAGGGTAATTATGTATTTTTTAATATCTACATATATATATTTAGATATTTGTTAATACTGTTGCTCAGTCGTTTTAATCATACATCGCTATTCATATTCCCCCGAGACACTATATAAATAAATTACAGGACAGAGAGTGAAAGCAATGTTCACTCTGAGTGAAACACTACAAGGAAGTACCAGACAGGTCAGTTGAAGCATGTTATTCAACACTTTATAAAAATATACTTTTTAAGTTTTTAGTTTAAACCTGTGTATGCATTAATGTAATGTTCTCTTTGAAGGAAATACAAAGTACAATGATGTTCTGTTCAAAATATATTTATCCAGTCCCAGAAGTTAAAGATCTTATCTAAATAAATAAGTATACAGATATAACATACATAGTGTCACAGTGGATGACTAGAGAACTGCTTTCTTCATTTAGCTCATCGTTGTGTGAGTTATGCCAGGGACTGTGGATCCTGAGCCAGTTGTATTGTCAACACAGAATACCACTCGTTCTTGCTCCTAAATTATGCAAAGGAAAAGATTAAGTCACGGAAGGTTCTTGAGCCCAGGTCAGATTCATCGTTATTCTCAGTGAGTGATTTACAATGTCTTGGCTCTAGTACTGGATGTTAGAGGCGCCCAGGAGACAGGCGCAGCTAGCGGGGAGCTTGAAAGTCTCGATGGCGAAGGGGAAGTACTGATCATAGGGGTCGTAGACGATGAAGCGGTGGTAGATGGACTTTTGCAGGCACTTGGACTCGTAACACTGAGGCACTAGAGGACAGGCATTACCGTGCTTAAGGCACTCCTCAATGCGGGTAGTTTGGGTGAAATCCTTGTAATCTACCTGAATGTTGTTAACGATGATGCGCCACTTTCCGTCGGTGTTCTGGGCTCGCAGAAGCCTGACGTATTCGGTCTCAGAGGGACAGAGATAAGTCTCCTCATAAAGGGTTTTGAGACCGTCGACGGAAAGCTTTGTGTCCAGGTCTGCAACGTCGGTGTAAAGGGTGAGAAGTTTCTCCTTGTGTTGGTTGGCAGCTTGCTGGACCTCGTAGGCTGGGTACTCCTTATCGTTGATACACCAAGGCTTGCCGGTTTGAGCAGCACAGGCGGGGGCCCCATATGAAGGTTGAGGCCCGTAGGCCGGTGTTGGGCCATAGGCGGGGGTTTGGGGAGGATAGGCAGGGGTTTGGGGAGGATAGGCAGGGGTATGGGGGGGATAGGCAGGCTTAGGGGGATAGGCAGGCTGAGGGCGATACGTAGGCTGAGTGGGATAGGTAGGCTTTGGGCGATATGTAGGTTTTGGGCGATAGGTAGGTTGTGGACGATAGGTAGGTTGCGGCTTGTATGTAGGTCGTGTTGGATGATAGGATGGGGTATAAGGAGGCGGGGGAAGTTCGGCAAGAACAACGGCCATCACAGCCAACGACACCTGTGAAAATATAATGAGTCAGAATAAGCATTTGTTTATCATACTACTTATAACAACATTATTATTATTATTATTATGGAGTCGACCATCTCCATTTTTTTTACATTTTCGTGTATATCAGCAGTTAGAGAATGATGACTGCTTACTTACCACAAACCTCAGAGCCATGTTGGAGGAACCTGAGTGAGAAATGGAACTGTGCTTCTCCCGGCCTCGTCTGCCTTATATACTGACTCCCACACGTACAACGCCCTTGTTCTTAAAATGTAACACTAACACACTGACGCTGTAGAGGTGAAAGTTCTCGCTAAAATCCCACAAGCTCACCCTTCGAGTACTGAGTAAATAGCAGACCCTTCTGTAGCTGGTTAGCTGTTTATGAAGATCAGTGTGATTGAGATGCATGAATGGAATGTCGTACCTAGTAGCCAGAACGCACTTCTCAGCCTACTATGCAAGGCCCGATTTGCCTAATAAGCCAAGTTTTCATGAATTAATTGTTTTTCGACTACCTAACCTACCTAACCTAACCTAACCTAACTTTTTCGGCTACCTAACCAAACCTAACCTAACTTTTTCGGCTACCTAACCTAACCTAACCTATAAAGATAGGTTAGGTTAGGTTAGGTTGGTTAGGTTCGGTCATATGTCTATGTTAATTTTAACTTCAATAAAAAAAATTGACCTCATACATAATCAAATGGGTAGCTTTATCATTTCATAAGAAAAAAATTATAGAAAATATATTAATTCAGGAAAACTTGGCTTATTAGGCAAATAGGGCCTTGCATAGTAGGCTGACAAGTGCGTTCTGGCTACTAGGTACGACATATATATATATATATATATATATATATATATATATATATATATATATATATATATATATATATATATATATATATATAATATATATATATATAGCAAGGACGGCATGGGTTCGAATCCTGGCCGGGTCAAAGAGTTCTTAGTGATATATGGCTTGCGCGTTCATGCAGCTTTCTCACACATGTTAGACTCAGTGCGGCCCGTGCATGCGCCAGAATTTGATGAAAAACTGTACCCAAATGGATCCATGAGTGTCGTCGGGGGTTAGTCAGTCAGGGAGCTTAGTTAATAAGCGCCACGACTGACCAATCCTTATAGACGATCATTGGTGCGGTGGTCACGGTACTGTGTACGTTTAGGGGTGATCCTGGACGGCATGGGTTCGAATCCTGGCCGGGTCAAAGAGTTCTTAGTGATATACATACATATATATATATATATATATATATATATATATATATATATATATATATATATATATATATATATATATATATATATATATATATATATATAGAATGTGTGTGTGTGTGTGAGAGAGAGAGAACGAGAGAGAATCACTCTATTGTAATTTCATTGTGCATCGACGAGAACTTTTGGTTGGAGAACTGCATTACTACTCCAGGTTGTAGACGGACAACATGTCTAAATTTTATTTTGGTACCAGCTCAGGTCCTTCCTAATACCCACCTGTAAGTTGAGTAGAACCTCGGGATGGGTTTTTAAGCTCATCCTGCGGCCGTCTGGGGTAACCCAAGACACGAGTTAAATTCTACCATATTGCTTCAAGAGATTTTCTCATAGGTACGTTACACTATTGTGTATTATTGTCATTATCCATATCTATAAAAGATAATGTATGTTTGATGACCAAACCACACGTAAGAAAGTTAAGAAACGACGATGTTTCGTTCCGACCTTGACCATTAACTTGAAAATGGTTCAGAACAGACCGAAACTTTATTGTTTCTTCATTTCTGATATGTGGTTTGGTTATCATATCTTCAGCCATTTCATTGTGACTCATTGTCTGTAACAGTTTTTTTTGTGTCCGAGGTAGCAGGCCAGACACTAGTTATTAACCTCACACAACTTTCCATAGTGACTAACATTTGTATGGACAGTGTCATAGGTGGGGTCGGGATCGATCTCCATGCCTCCATTTAAGTAAGACTGGCTTCTATGTTGGCAGCCAAAGACTTGTATGAAGTCTGAAATGTGGGTTTAGTTTTCCATAGCGTTTTAACATATTTTCAGGTGATCATATCACACACACAACGTTGTTACAACGTCTTGTCAACGTAACAGTAGTAGATAATAATTTGTTTTCTAAATAAATTATTGTGTTTGTGTTTGCTGGACACATATATTGCATGTTCTGTGTGAGAGTGAGAGAGAATCCAGAGAGGGGGAGAGAACTGAAGGGAGGGGAGGAGGAAGAGAGAAAACGGGAGGCAGGGAGGGTGGGGAGGGAGGGAGGGAGGGAGGGAGGGAGGGAGGGAGGGAGAGAGGGTGGGAAAGAGAATGAAAGGAGGGAGAACTTTCCTTTCACTTTTACCCTCGACAGCTTAGCTGGGAAGCTATCTTGAAGGTCACTTGAAGGCTGCCGACGCCATGTCTAAAGTTGTGAAACATTGTTTCGTGAGTCGGCAGCCTTCAGGGGCTTTCAAGAGTCTTCATTATGGCGTCTTAGTAACTTTGGAGGTACAAACAATCAGAAAATAACACTTACTACCCAGGAACAAAAATAATTGTTACAGAGATTCTTTTTAAGTTTTCATGTATTTATTGAAACATAAGATTTTCTGTGGATGCAACATTTATAATGTGTGCACGGAAAATAATTGAGGAAAATACAAAGTACAATGATGCTGTGTTCAAAATGTATTTCTCCAATGCCAGAAATAAAAGATATAAAGTATCTAAATAAATAAGTTTACATATAAAAATATATCATACATAGTATCACAGTGGATGACTAGAGAACTGCTTTCTTCATTTAGCTCATCGTTGTGTGAGTTATGCCAGGGACTGTGGATCCTGAGCCAGTTGTATTGTCAACACAGAATACCACTCGTTCTTGCTCCTAAATTATGCAAAGGAAAAGATTAAGGCACGGAAGGTTCTTGATCTCAGATCAGATTCATCGTTATTCTTAATAAGTGTTTTACGTTATCTTGGCTCTAGTACTCGATGTTAGAGGCGCCCAGGAGACAGGCGCAGCTAGCGGGGAGCTTGAAGGTCTCGATGGCGAAGGGGAAGTACTGATCATAGGGGTCGTAGACGATGAAGCGGTGGTAGATGGACTTCTGCAGGCACTTGGACTCGTAACACTGAGGCACTAGAGGACAGGCATTCCCTTGCTTAAGGCACTCCTCAATGCGGGTAGTTTGGGTGAAATCCTTGTAATCTACCTGAATGTTGTTAACGATGATGCGCCACTTTCCGTCGGTGTTCTGGGCTCGCAGAAGCCTGACGTATTCGGTCTCAGAGGGACAGAGATAAGTCTCCTCATAAAGGGTTTTGAGACCGTCGACGGAAAGCTTTGTGTCCAGGTCTGCAACGTCGGCGTAAAGGGTGAGAAGTTTCTCCTTGTGTTGGTTGGCAGCTTGCTGGACCTCGTAGGCTGGGTACTCCTTATCGTTGATACACCAAGGCTTGCCGGTTTGAGCAGCACAGGCGGGGGCCCCATATGAAGGTTGAGGCCCGTAGGCCGGTGTTGGGCCATAGGCGGGGGTTTGGGGAGGATAGGCAGGCTTCGTGGGATAGGAAGGGGGTGGGGGATAGGCTGGCTGGGGGCGATACGTAGGCTGAGTGGGATAGGTAGGCTTTGGACGATAGGTTGGTTTAGGGCGATAGGTAGGCTCTGGCTTGTATGTAGGTCGCGGCTGATATGTTGGGCGAGGAGTATATGAAGGAGTTGGAGGATACGTGGGCCTGGGGGAGGTGGCATACGGAGTGCCATAGTGACTGACCCTTACATTGGAGCCATGTTCGGCGAGACCAATGGCCAATACAGCCAACGACACCTGCAAGGGTAAAAAACAATTTCAAATTAACTTTCAATCATCGATATTCTTTTAACAACTACGTAATTATTTTTAATCAAGCAACTATGTTTCTGACGTTCTATCTAAACCCGATATTCGCCGCTTACTTACCACAACCCTTAGAGACATGTTGGAGGAACTTGAGTGATGAATGGAACTATGCCTCTCCCGGCCCCGTCAGTCATATATATATATACTGAGATTTAGGAACACATCGCCCTTGCTCTTAAAATAGAAAAATAATACTAGCTCTGTAGAGGTGAAAGTTCTTGTTAAGTCCCTCCACAGGTTCACCCGTAGAGCGATGACTAAGCGGCGGATACCGCCGTGGCTGATTGGCTGAGGTCCAGTTGATTCCAGAAACTTAACAATCAAATCCATATTGCTTAGACGTTATTACAGAATACGTCATTATCGTGTCCTCGCATATTATTCCTCTCTTCCAGTGTGGAGAAGTTCAGTTTGGTCTCGTTGCTAAAATCCCTCAACTCAGAAACGAACCTGTTGCATCCCTTTTTTTTGGGTTTGTTGTTTTTCGTTAGTTTTGTGTGTGTGTGTGTGTGTGTGTGTGTGTGTGTGTGTGTGTGTGTGTGTGTGTGTGTGTGTGTGAAATAATTTGTATAATCAGACTTGCCACTAACTGTAACCTGCAAAGTGAAGTTGCAAAACAGCTGGGTGAAATACAATTGCGTGAATCCCAAGAGTGATGTGACAAGTGTGTTTGCTTCAGAGAAATATTATTTATAAAGTAACTTACAAAGTAAGAAGCTAATTCCTTTGGATAGTTACTACAAGGAAGTAGCAGGGTAGAGAATGTTTACCATTTCGCAGTTATGTTGTATATTTCTAAATACAACATATGTGGATATTCAAGTATATCCAATCACCATAAATGTCACAATCACCTCAATCTAAAAAAAAACGTATATCAGTCTCTACAGCCATTATATAATCACTATACTCATCATTACCACTATATTCCCCCCAGTCACCATACACACCTCAATGATAAGTTACCATAATGGTTACAATTACCACAATCGTCAGTCACAGCCCCCACCAGTCACCACCATTTGTTACTGTCACCTCAGACCATAACAGCGCCAAAGGGGAGCACAGTCTGGGTCTGACCACAACGACTGTTGATGAAATGGTGACCAGGCGCCCCCTTCCACCGCCCCCTCTCCATCTTTACCTCAAGCTGCTCCACTAATTACATACCAGAGGGCGGTCACGTGTGTATGTGTGCGTGTCTGTGTGTTTATATATGTGTGTGTGTATTTACTCTCTGTGCCTGCAGGATCGAGCTTGGACCCTGACTTTTTAACCGACAGTTGTCTATACTGACTCCCGACATAATTGTAATCTACTACTTGTTTCTCTCTCTCTCTCTCTCTCTCTCTCTCTCTCTCTCTCTCTCTCTCTCTCTCTCTCTCTCTCTCTCTCTCTCTCTCTCTCTCTCTCTCTCTCTCTCCCTCTCTCACACACACATCCCAAGGATGCCGCCCGTCGCATCTGTGTTTCTCCCAGGTACCTATTTACTTTTAGGTGAACAGAGGCATCAGGTGTAAGAAACTGTCCATTTGTTGTTGCATCGAACGGGAATCGAACCCGTTCCTTAGGACTACGACCCCAGAGCACTGACCGATCGACTGAATGTGTGTGTGTATACATTTACGCAGCTGCGACATGACTATATGTATATGTGCTTTCTAAATTATATGTTATGCTGCTAGTTAGTTTATATATTCGTAAACGAACATGGGGGCATATGCAATATATTCTGTCATTTTTCGATAAAACTATCAGTGAGTCTTTCTACCAACATACTCGCTTAGATATTTCCCAGTATATTGCTTTGATATCTACCAATACACTCCCTTACATATCTACCAATATATTAGCCTAGATATCTATCAACGTACTTGCTTATATGTTTGCCAACATCGACTATCATCGACTATATAGTATATCGATTATACACTTGCCGAGATATCTACTGACATACCTGCCTAGATATTTATGAACACACTAGCCTATATATACATATCTATGAACATACTAGCCTATATATATCTACTAACATTCTTACCTAAATATATACAAAAATACCAGGCTAGATATAGACCAACATTCTTGATTAGAAGTCTTCCGACCTAGTAATCTACAAAACTACTTACATACTTGCCTAAATATGCCATCATAGATGTGTAGATACTTTAAATGTCGCAAAGTAGTACTGTATCATTACTGTACTGTTATCTGCAGCAATGTGGGTATGCAGAACTTCTAGTGTTTTTATTATTATTATTATTATTATTATTATTATTATTATTATTATTTCTATTTTTAGTATTTTCAGATTATTTACCTTTGATTTGAATTGTAATGCACTAATTAAAATAATAGTCACAGAAAAACAATTCCTTTCATCTTCAAATGGAAAGTGATGGAAAGAGGCCCTATTGCTCCCATTAGGAAAACTTCCAAATGGAATTTGTTGCGTTCTTAAGTGGAAAGCTTCAAGAAGAGTCACCTTCCCACTCCCTAAGTTTCGGCGAGATGCGTCACCAAGAGGAGGAACATCCTCATCAAGGCCCCCGCCTTCAGGTAATGACGGTGACGGCACCTGAGGCAAGGGCTTGCCTTGGCCAACCTGTGGGTGTGGTAAGTGGCACTTGCTTATAACCACACTGAGAAACATGTCTCGGCCAGACCACATGAATACCTCTCATCCCTAAGGCAGTCTTCTGTAATAACTTCCTCGGTTGCTGTTGATTTCGAGGGTCAACCCTCGGTGAACTGATCAAATATGAAAAGGAGAGTGAATGAAAGATTGAGACAGCTGTAACTAGAGGACCAAAGGATGGAAAAACGACACGTAGCCTCCGTCAGTTGAGCATAAAGCCAGACGACTGTGCTGCAGTATACCTCCTCAACAGTGTGAAAACAAATGTTCAATGTCGGTAACAATTCGAACTGTGTGGTGGAATTACCTGCCCAGCAGGACCTTACAGTCAGCCGCCACGCCTCCAACCTGACATAGTTTCTTTTTATTATTACTCTCCCTCCCTTTCTCTCTCTTCACTCATGTGTATCTACTATGTATGTGTGTGTGCGTACATGTGCGTGCATATGTATGTTATAACGTTTCATAGGTCACAAATTAAGGTAAGCATTTAGTTCGTACTACTAATCATGGAAATCCTGTCTACAGTTCTATCTAACTTTATTGGACAATGTTGAGTTTTTTGCTGCTTTAGATTTAGCTACTCAGAACGAAATGTCCATGTAGCACGGGCTATAGTGAGCCCGTAATTAATATTGAAGACAAAGCCTCACATTTAATGCAATGCGAACTTAATTCACCTCCCTAAATGCTGTACCTCCAGATTCTCAGGTGTTCCACCACTGCTACATTTAACAACATCGAAGTTCAAATCTAGCTTTTATAAGATCAAAACAATTACACACAGAAATCACAATAGCGTGATATATAAAATGAATATATCACAGCCCTTGTGGATTTGTTCATCAAAACAATTAATTCAAAGAAATAAATGATAATAATAATAATAACGATTATTATCGTTATAATATTTTCATATACTAACTTATATTCAGCCCGTTTATTGCATCACTGGTAAATAACTTTAATTAAATTATGCTAGTTATATATATATATATATATATATATATATATATATATATATATATATATATATATATACATATATATATACGTATACATATATATATACGTATATATATATATATATATATATATATATATATATATATATATATATATATATATATATATATATATATATATATATATATATATATATATACATGAATCGTTCATTACTTTTGTAAAATTAGGACAAATTAAAGAATACAAAATAAACAATTCTTCGGGTTGAATTATCATATGTAAGACTTGTCAACAGCTCTCCGCATTGTGCGCCAGGTATTTGGATCGTTTTCTATAGGGCGCGGCGTTGAAATCTCCGGGAGTTTACCACACATTCTTTTCCTGTATTTTCTAAATTTGGAGATTCATAATCTGGTGACTATGGCTGGAACATATGTATTTATTTATTTATTAGGTTTTATCTTCTTTTTGGCAGATTGTGTTGATGGATGAACAAGTGACAATAGAATAGAAAACATAGGGCAGTGTGTTTACCTGATGTCTGATTGTGATACTTAATTAGTGTTCAAGAATTCAGATGGTCTATCTAAATAATCCAGCTTCCAAATCTCAAATATGGAGAAAAAGCACAAAATACATTATATGTGACTTTAGCCACTTTAGCCCGTTAAATTTCATATTTTTAGGTAAATATTTCTTCCGTGTTTTGCAATTACATATATTAATCTAACTATCAGATCTTTTGCTTAGGTTAAATTAAATAAAAATAATAATGATAATAATGAATTAATAATAGTTCCCTTCCTCTCTCTCTCTCTCTCTCTCTCTCTCAAATAATGAAAATGTAAAAAACAATACATATAAGAAAACTGTCATTTCGCACCTATATGGATATATAATAGCTCAAAACAAAAGACGGAGTGCTTTTTACTTGCACTGTTGTGGTTGTGACAGGAGTAGTCTCCCTCCCTCCGTGAGAGTGATGTGCTTTATCGTCCTTGGCAGATTTTGGAGGTTTAGGAAAGTTACTTCAGCGATTAAGAAGGATGTGATTAGGTAGCGATTTTTAGAGTTAAACATTGCTGTTGTTTGTTGCTATTCTTGTTATCGTTTTGTTATTGTCATTATTATTATTGTTATCTTTATAATTCGTTTTATCATTATACTTTGTACTATTATTATAAGTATTATTATTTATATTTATTTACGCTTCACTTGGCAGATAATCTGATACCTAAAAGCTAAAGCTACATTTTGTGTTATTTTTCATTTTTCTTAACTATAAATTATATTATATTTTGTTGTTAAGATATTCTTGACAACTAAAAAGTTCTATACTGGTGTAATATATTTTCACCTTCAATTAAAATTTAACTTTTATATATTTTTTGTGATTTTTATAACAAGCAATTTATGTTGTCTTCTTATCTACTTTGATGCTATCTACGGAAAAATTATATTTCTACTCAGAACACACATTAATTCATGATTATACCTGTACACATCATTAATAATTATGTTTCCCTGTACACATCATTAATTCATGATTATTACAACTACTTTGTCATTTATTGCAAACATATTGTTAAAGGTTTGTTTAGTGATTATCCGCACTTGAATATTCACGTGGCTAGAGAAGTGAGGTGAAAATGACCGTCGTGTGTGAGAAGAAGGGAATTAAATGTTGTTATTAGGTGAAGTGACAGTACTATTAGAAAATTAGAAGAGCATTACGTTAGACGTTAACATGATTAGATTAATGTGTGTGTGTGTGTGTGTGTGTGTGTGTGTGTGTGTGTGTGTGTGTGTGTGTGTGTGTGTGTGTGTGTGTGTGTGTGTGTGTGTGTGTGTGTGTGTGTGTGTGTGTATGTGTGTGTGTGTGTGCGCGCGCGCGTCTAAAAAAAGTTTATAAGATTACTCGGGAAGCATGTCATTGGTCCGTTGGTATTAGGCAACAGAGCAGTCGTCAGGCCCAGATATTTAAATATACTGACACGTAATATGGCATTTTAGAATATGTAAACGCACAAAGTTCCATTCAAAAATAAACCCAGGAGGGCGTACAGCGATACGGGCAAGACCTGTATATAAGACCAGGGGCAGATGAGTCAGATGCTGTAGTACTGGTCAGTAGTCATCAGCAGTCATCACTCTCCACCATGTCCGCCGCGTGGTTGGTAAGTGTGGGGCCACAGCGGTTAGCCAGCGTCATTAGCAAGAAGTGAAATGAAGAGTTTAGCTTTATACCTTTCTTCAGGGTTACGTATTTTGAGGCTAAACATTGACCTAGTATTTTGTACTTAGAAAATGTTTGCATATGGGAATTAAAGGTTACCCCTGACGAGCCATGATAATAATAATTTATTTGTAAGAAAGTACAATGGGTTGGTGAGATTACATAAGATTGGTATTTGTACATTCTTGCAAAGCCACTGACACGCATAGCGCTTCGGGCCAGGTCCTTAATCTAACATATCAGGTAAGATGAAAAGGTACATTGAAGCAAAGTTTTATATCAACAAATAACTACAATATAAGTTGATAGAGGTGATTACACTGGTAAGGATAAATATGTCTTAAGTTTTAATATTTGGGAAAGTGGGTAGTATAAAATACAGTGTGAGTTTGAAGCACAAGGTAGGAAACTATGAGGATTAAATTAGGTACTTTTTGGTTTTACTTTTTAATAAGTTGGACGATTTTTTGTATTCGTCAAGGAGTGAGTTCCATAAACTGGGTCCTTTTATTTGCATGGAGTGTTTGCACAGATTTAGTTTGACTCTGGGGATATCAAAGAGATATTTATTTCTGGTGTGGTGCTCATAATTGCTGTGAAGATCAATGAATATATTGAACATAGTGACTGGAATCAATGTGAATCAATCAATTTCCTTTGTAAGACGGGCAGACAAAGTGTCAAAAATGAAAGTGAAAACACCAATATTTCAAGCCACTAACTTCAATTTAGACACGTTGCTGAAAGACTTGTCTGATTATTTGGATAGTAGTGGATATATGGGCCTGCAGGCCGCGCCAAGCAACAGCCTGACGAACCAAATTATCATTGGTTATTAGTCCCAAGCCGGGTTTGGGGAGTAAAACAACTCCCAGAACCCAGTCCAATATACTCTAGGTCTGCTCAAGGTATTCACTAAACAAACAATTAAATTGTCAGTAGCCAGAGTTGTCGGCTCACGTCCGAATAAACCCAAATTCGATTTATGCGGAAAAACAGAACTCCGCATAAATCCGTGATATAAGGTATATAACTCACCGATCCATTGAAAATTATTCATCAACCAAGAAGTTATTTGTTTCTAATTCGTATGGTCAACTATTTGTAGTGTAAAGTACACTGTATACACGTTAGCGGAATGTTGACATCTTCAGTCATTATGCTGAGTGCCAAGCGACCTTCATATACCCTTACACTGGAGACAAGCCAACACATTACATCATTAAAGCAATAATACGTCACACGGATTTACAAATGTCAGACGGCGGCAGAGGACTGTGGTACGCAAGCCATAACACACATCATGATGTGATGATACACACAATGATGTGTAGGGTATACAGAGTATACATCGACCACACGCCGTGTTTATCTAACATATAGACTTCGCTCGTAACAACTAAACCATTAATTGTACTGTAACGTTGAGAGTCTTATGCCAATTCCACATTAGCTGCTCCCCAAAACGACAATAACATCCACAACAGCCCTCAACAGCCATGCCAACTCCACCATAACTACTACGCATTAGTAGTACTACTACTACGCATTAACTACTACTCCCTGCAGTAGTTAAACTCACAGTAACGTGGCCGGAACAAATACATATTAAACCAACACATTATAAGTGAACAAAGTGAAAACGTTTGGGTTCAACCCGGATCATTGTCGAGCCAAGACTGATAATGATTCAGGACGGACCGAAACGTTGTATTTTAGGTACTTGTTCTGTAACGTCGAACTCTAGCTCCTTAGCCCTACTTTTCAAAGAATTTGTAAATATGTGGACTGGCTCGTTTCTCTTGACAAATGTACACATTTAATATTGTGTATTGACTTAACTTCCACCAGTTTGTCATATATGTAATTACAGTTATTTACAAATATTTGGCTGAATATTTTTGTTATTAAATTTTTCTGGTATATTTGTGTACCAGTTGACCAGGTCCTTGTTTTTACAGGTCTCCGTCATAGTATCGCTGGTCGTTGTAAATGTCACGACAGACCCAGCTGTTTATTTTGATCCCTCTCTCCACTATCCACACTCCACCAACACAACAAAGCTGTTATACCACTCACAGCCCATCTTACCCACTCTCTATCCACGACCTACCTACCATCCACATCTTGCTATCTACCCACGACCCATCTACCATCCACAGCTGCTATACAACCTGCATTCCATCTTGTACCTACAACCCACGCTCTACCCACAACTTACATTTACCCCACAACCCAACCTCAACTTTCACCCCCACTTCACGCGTCACCAGTACACAGTTCCATCCTGCGCCGTGAACACCACCAAGACCTGGTGCCTTGAAGATGCCAATTATCCCACTGATGATGTTCAACAGGCCATCCAAAAGCACCACTACGTCTTCACCACCCTCTACGCTGACGTCGGTACCCTCACTACTGAACACTCCGTCGGACGTCCTAAGACCCTTCAGGAGGAGATGTACCTGTGTCCCTCAGACACCGCCTACGTTAAGCCTCTACGTGTCCAAAATAATGAAGGCAAGTGGCGGGTCATTGTCAACAACGTCAAGGTTAACTATGAAACATACACTCAGACGGCACGAGTTGAGGAATGTTTAACAGCTGGGGAAAACTGTCAGATAGTTCCATTGTGTTACGAGTTCAAGTGCCTGCAGAAGTCCATCTACCACCGCTTCCTCGTCTACGACCCCTATGACCAGTACTTCCCCTTCGCCATCGAGACCTTCAAGCTGCCCGCCAGCTGCGATTGTCTCCTAATGAGAGGCTAAGTAATTGAATAATTAAAGTATACCAAGAAGGTCAACAATGAAATATCATTACGTGAAAATGGTAGATGATTCCTTAACCAATTACGATACCTCACAGCAATCGAGCTAGCATGAGAAAGCAGTTCTCTTATTCTCTTGAAGAATTTTGTTTCCACTGAAGTATGCTCTGTGTATTTAATTATCTAGTGATGTATCTATAATTTAAGCCTTTACACTTAAAGGTTGTATATAAAAATCATACATTTATTATATTTTTTATCAGGTTTCTTCCAAATACAAAATTGCTTTAACTTAAAATGCCACAATCTATTATTTTCATGTCCTCCTCTTGGCATCTGTGCCAAGTGCTAAACATAATAATAATAATTTGTTCACCAGAAGGTACAATGGGTTGGTGAGATTACATAAGATTGGTATTTGTACATTCTTGCAAAGCCACTAACACGCATAGTGTTCCGTTAGGTCCTTAATCTAACATATCAGGTAAGATGGAAAAGTACAGTGTAGCAGGGTTTTATATCAACAAATATCTACAATATAAATGAACAAAGGTGATTTGTAATAAAATAAAATTAATTTATATCAATAAAATTACACTGGTAAGGATATATGTTTTAAGTACTAATATTGGGGAAGTGGGTACAAGATGCATTGTAAGTTTGAAGCTCAAGGTAGGAAATTATGAGGATGAAATTAGGTACTTTTTGGCTTTACTTTTTAATAGGTTGGACGATTTTTTTTATTCTTCAAGGAGTGAGTTCCATAAACTGGGTCCTTTTGTATGCATGGAGTGTTTGCACAGATTTAGTTTGACTCTGGGGATATCAAAGAGATATTTATTTCTGGTGTGGTGCTCATTACACCTATCAAGGAAAAGTTTCAGATCAAGATTAGCATTTGGCAACAAGATTTTGTACATGTAAATACCACATGAGAATGAGTGGCGTGAATGTATATTTAGCATATTAGAGGACTTAAACAGAGGGGCTGTGTGTGATCTGAAGACAGATTTTGTTATAGTTCTGAGAGCAGATTGTTGCTGAATTTAACAGGTTCTCTGAATTGGTTACTGAAATTAGTGCTATCCTTCCTGTTTACACTTAACCTGGCTTTTGGGCGCTTAACCTTGCTTTGTACCACTAAATCTGGATGTGTTAAACTTAACCTGGCGTAAAGACACATTTGCTTCTATAAAACCATGTTAAGAAGGGCGACATAATTTTTTATGCTAAAATCCCCAATTCGCTGGATGGATGATGTGCGAGTCACTCGATCATACAGATTATTCCCGTTAGGTTTGGCAAGTAACCGGAAGGAAAGCCTTGTAGACAGCCTCACCCTTAGACAGGGATTCTAGATAAAACTAACAGGCTTCTATACGTTATGACTGAATTAAAAATAATTTAGGGACTGCTTTATAGAAACGTTTTTTACACTCATAACTGCGTTGAAAGAAAATGTAAATTATGCCAAACCTGTGTATCTTTATTTATTTATTTATTTATTTATTTATTTATTTATTTATTTATTTATATACAAGAAGGTACATTGGGTTAGAGAGAATACATAGAATACATAGAGAGAATACGTATTTACAATCTTGTAAAGCCACTAGTACGCACAGCGTTTCGGGCAGGTCCTTAATCTAACAGATAATTTTAAGTAGGTAAATTCTAGCAGAATTAATAAGATGATAACAGATACATTGCAAGAAAAAAATGAAATGAGACAGAATAGTAAGTATATTAAAGCACATTGGTATATTAAACCCTTTGGCGCATTCCTGCAGATCGTCGTTGTCACCAATATAATTAATCACACCGCACGCGTGCCCCTCTCGGGAGTCACGAGCAAAAATATTTGTATAAAATCCATTTATTATCCGATCAACTTGGGAATAGTTTACAAATGTTTGCCATGAAATTTACGTTTTCTCTAATAGCCGAACAGCTTATTAAAGAAAGCGGCGTGGCAGTGAATCATCGTGGTAAAACAATTGTATTATTGACACGACGAGTATAATCGACATAGTTTTTATATATGTTGCCGGTCCAACGCATCCTTATGTGACCTTTAATACTTATGTTCTTATAGAACATTCTATTGCGAGCACATTGTACAAAAATGAAATACATACATCGACAAATAATGTCAGGACAGTGAATTGAATATACACTTTTCAAGGCGAGTTTCGCCGATATGCCGCCGCGGGTAACACTTCGGCCACTTCCCACACTGTTTTGGGTGGGCTACGACATTGAATCTATATTTATATGCATATGTCCGTGTAGAGAATTTATTGCGATTCCAATGATACCACAATTAGCGATGTAGGACAACTGTAGGCTTCGCAACCATGAAGAGAGTGGAAACATTTTGTTGCTGTTTGGCGCTCTCGGCTTGTGATCTGAATAGTTTTTTATTTGGTGTTGATAATCCTTATGCTTTGGCGGCATTTTATAGATATGTTCTTATAGACAATTTTATTGCGAACACAGTGATACCAAATTTAAATACGTGCGCCTTCAATTATTGTCAGGACAGTCAAAAGAGTGTACACTTTTTCGGTCTTACCGCATAGGCGCGCGAAGCGCCGAAAGCATCTGGGTTATGATTTTTTTTTGAACGCCGAGAGCGCGAAAGTGTTAAGCTTTCTTTAAGCCCAGATTGCCACACTAAAAAAATACTTTAAACATAGCCATATAAGTCTATTTCTAACTCTGTTTTGCACTCTTCTTTCATTACAGTTAGCTTGCAGTTGTTCTGGGGGAAGCTTCGATGAACCAAACAGGCTTTCTGTCCCCGACAATGGGAAACCGATTAACATTTATCTGAAACACTATTTACTTGTTTAAACTAAAGCACTAATACCGTTATAATAATAATAATAATAATAATAATAATAATAATAATAATAATAATAATAATAATTTGTTTTGTAGAAGACAGGTAGCCTGTGTATATATACTTCAGGTTTATAGCAAGCTTCCTCCAAGGTCGAACTACTGACCATCCCCAGGAGGCATCCCAGCAATAGTTACCTTCCTCCCGTGTACCTATGCTAGGCAAACAATGGCATTAGGTGAAAGGAAACATGTCAAACCATTCTGTTTCGGCCGGGAATCGAATCCACAATTGTTCTACGTGTATTGTGTTAGATTAAAATAACCATGTAGATGGACAATAAAACGCACATTAACAAGCAACAATACGTCAACATAAATTAGTGAGTGGAAACAAGTGGGTAGGGTCCTGTAGCGCAGCTATCAGAGCTGTTAATTCACAACCGGAAGGCTCCGAGTTCGATTTGCTTCGGCAAAACGGAGACGTTTTTTATATGTTTTCTTTCACCTAATGCCTCTGTTCACATATATATGTCCTTGGGAAAGATCAGTCGTTTTATGTCCAAGAGAATGTAAATAATCTTAAAAGGCTTCTTGTCTCCGATGAATGTCAACGAAACCAAGACATTTGCGAGATGAAGTCGTAGCCATGATCGGGACACTTCGGAGGACGGAGTGGCCAAGACATATCAGGTCTTGGGTGGCTGATTTTGCTGAGAAAGTCGAGACTGGACGAAAGGAGATTATCACTTAGTGTTCGTCGAAATATTGAAAACTGCTGGCCAGGTTGAAGGCTAATTTTTACGATTCTGGCAACTCAAAATGTAAACACGAAGGTCTGGGACTGGTAGGCCGTAGGCCTTGAGAAAGTTCCGCTGTGCCAATCCAACTTCTTTTCTTTGAATCGTTAAGGTAAGTCAGTTAGTATATAATTAAATACTATGTTTAACAGTGTGTTCGTGGATATGGTATTATATTTATTAAATGAGGATAAAGGTGCTCGACAGTTCCTTACAGTTGGATGGATTGTTTTGCCAGTTGGATTGGCAATACGTGCAACGGGAGAGAAAACCTATTAGAAGCATAGATATATAGACTTACTGCTTCGCCGACCCGTGTTTAAGAGTGTCAGAGCAGTTGTTAAAAGACATTATCATCGCTTCCCATTTGTTAGCTTTCCAGCTTTCTCAACCATTACAGGAGTTACAGTGCGCAGGTGTTTAACATTCGGGGGCATGATTTACACAGGTCTCGCAGACAGCTGTAGTAAGGTCATATTTAATATCAACTGTCCAGTACATACACAACACTTTATACAGTGTTGAATTTGTATATTTAAAACAATACATATATTATGGGGCCCAGAGATATTATCCAGAACGTTCGATATATTTTTACTTTAATTTTGTATTTTTATAATTTCGCCCCAAAATTCATACATCTTGTTCTGGAAAATCTAACTGATTATATTATGTTCTCGTGTATCGTCTGACCTGAGGCCGTCAGCCATCTTTAAGGCATCTTTCTATAGGTTATGCCAGTAAATAGATTTAATTTGTTTTTCCTAGCTTGAATATTTCAACCAAACCATTTTTCATAACAACACGATGCTACATTCCATCTTCTAACCACCATATAAAATGGAGTCGTGGACAAATAGGTGTTCTGTTATGTTTTTCTCATTTAGGCTACATCCAATTATAACTAAATCAGGAGTTATACATATATTATTTTTTTAAATATTGTAATGTTTACTTTCTTAACTGTAATATATAAATACGTGGTTAATGGTCATCGAATAAAAACAGGAGAACCTTGTTCAAACATTGACACATTTTACAGTAGTGAGATGAAAATAAGAACATCAAGTAAGAATAATCTTTTATTCCATGCTGAAGACTTATATAATTAAAATATATTAAATTAACAGCTTGGTGAAAGAGGATGCATAAAAAAATATTTTTAACAATAAATCATTTAATATTTAATAAACAGACTACTTTGTACCTATTGACTAGGAAAACTGTGTGTGTGTGTGTGTGTGTGTGTGTGTGTGTGTGTGTGTGTGTGTGTACTCACCTATATGTACTCACCTATATGTGCTTGCAGGATCGAGCATTGACTCTTGGATCCCGCCTTTCGAGCATCGGTTGTTTACAGCAATGACTCCTGTCCCATTTCCCTATCATACCTGGTTTTAAAATTATGAATAGTATTTGCTTCCACAACCTGTTCCTGAAGTGCATTCCATTTCCCCACTACTCTCACGCTAAAAGAAAACTTCCTTACATCTCTGTGACTCATCTGAGTTTCAAGCTTCCATCCATGTCCTCTCGTTCTGTTACTATTCCGTGTGAACATTTCGTCTATGTCCACTCTGTCAATTCCATGTGTGTGTGTGTGTGTGTGTGTGTGTGTGTGTGTGTGTGCGTGTGTGTATGTGTGTGTGTGTATGCGTGTGTGTATGTGTGTATGTGTGTGTGTGTGTGTAGTTCGTGTAGTTTATGTGTACCTTTCTGTTGTTTCTGTCTGTGGCAAAATAAAACGAATAGGGCATGTGATCAAACCTCATCGTCAACATGGGTAAGGAAACGGATGTGAGACCAAAGACGAATGACCACAGGTGCATGACCACAGGTGCATGACCGCAGGTGCATGACTGCAGGTGCATGACCACAGGTACATGACCGCAGGTGCATGACTGCAGGTGCATGACCACAGGTGCATGACCGCAGGTGCATGACTGCAGGTGCATGACCACAGGTGCATGACCACAGGTGCATGACTGCAGGTGCATGACCACATGTGCATGACCGCAGGTGCATGACTGCAGGTGCATGACCACAGGTGCATGACCGCAGGTACATGACCTCAGGTACATGACCGCAGGTGCATGACCACAGGTGCATGACCGCAGGTACATGACCGCAGGTGCATGACCACAGGTGCATGACCACAGATGTATCACCACAGGTGCATGACCGCAGATGTATCACCACAGGTGCATGACCACAGGTGCATGACCACAGGTGCATGACCACAGGTGCATGACCGCAGATGTATCACCACAGGTGCATGACCACAGGTGCATGACCGCAGGTGCATGACCGCAGGTGCATGACCACAGACATCAGACTTAGTGGCCAAAGCAGCATGACAAAATTACATACATTAATAAACTGATTCGCACATGTCCCTTGACAAGGTTAGCCAAATCGCCACACATATATAAATAAAAGGGTTAATAAATATACTCTCTAATACATATATAAACATAATAACAGGTGACTCCTGAATGCAAACCTGAAGATGAAGATATTCTTTGTAGAAATAGTTAAATAATAAAGTCACATTAAACTGCAGATGTCTTCGGGGACTGGTATACTTTCTTAGCATAGAGACGTGTTGATGGAAGCTGCAGTTGTCCTCAGGAAGCAGATAGAGCTGATCTTACTGGAGTCTGGGCATAGAAATGGACCGCTGGCTGCAACAGGCGTTATTCAAGGGAACAAGTAGTGGGTGTTGACCTTGCTGGGCATACAGATGAGTTGCCTGAAGTTACAAATGTCTTCGCAACACATTTCATTCTTCTTGCAGTCACTGTCATTCTTACACAGCTGTAACGGAACAAAATAGGGCATTATATGAGGACTTATAACATGTCTGGATGTCTTTATCTGATATACGTCTGGTTTATTTATTTATTTTGGATGTGTTTTATATTTATTTGCCTGTAAAACTGTCTTAAAAAGATAACATTACAGGCAACACACTGAGATGGAGATCTACGTCAAAAGGAAAGACACACTACAGACTGAAGAAAAAAGAAAGGCATTAGAACATAGTGAGATATTAGAAAGTATAAGAGAGTAGTAGATAAAGATACATTAGAATATGCTGAAGAGAGAGAGAGAGAGAGAGAGAGAGAGAGAGAGAGAGAGAGAGAGAGAGAGAGAGAGAGAGAGAGAGAGAGAGAGAGAGAGAGAGAGAGAGAGAGAAATATCGGAATATACAGAAGATGATTATGTAAAAATGTTTACGAAGAGTATTATTTTATCATTTCTAAATGCTACTTAACTTTGAATCTTAGGTATTATAAAAAAAATCGGTCCAATCTTTCTTCCGTTTACATGGTATTAGTCAACACTGTCAAACGTCTCTGAATCTCTGAACTTGGTTTACATTGTCTTGAAAACGTTTTGATTAGACGAACGTCACCAGAAAATCTCTAGCCAAAGTTTACCTTATATACATATTCTCCCAAGTATCCATACCAAGAGGTAGAGTATTGTATATCGGTGATACTCTACGGTGGTCATTTCTTTCGAAGTTTATATTGATCTTACCTTGATCGTAACTGGATCCTCTATGATGGCTGAGTTATTACAGTCGACGAGGATCCGGGGCATCGGAGGACAGCGAGGGGGCTCTGTCAAGATATGCAAATAAAATTTGGGTACTGTCTAAGAAAGGTAGCACGCAGACAGCGACGTTGGATGGAGGAATATGTGATTTTGTTTTATTTAATAGGAAAAGTTATTCATTCAGTAATGTTTTATTTCTTCACATTGCTCCTCAACGTCGCCGTCCATTTCTCTGTCATTCAGTGTCTCAAATCTCACTGATGACAGACTTGTAATATCAAAATGTATTTATCATCAGGTATTTTATATTATTTACCATCACTCCATTCTTCATCACTGCCACATCTGCCCATAACTTGCATCATTCAACATCCACCCTCAACCCTCCGTCATTCAATGCCTGGCCACAATCTTTCGTCACTCGACCCCCGCCCACAACCCGTCACTCGACCACCGCCCACAACCCGTCACTCGACCCCCACTCACAACCTCGTCACTCGACCCCCACTCACAACCCGTCACTCGACCCCCGCCCACAACCCGTCACTCGACCCCTGCCCACAACCCGTCACTCGACCCCTGCCCACAACCCGTCACTCGACCCCCACTCACAACCCGTCACTCGACCCCCACTCACAACCCGTCACTCGACACCCGCCCACAACCCTGTCACTCGACCCCCGCTCACAACTCTATACGCACCATTTCGGGCCACCGAATCACAGCAAAGTTTGCGTCCAAATCGGTTTACACAAGGCTTCTTGCACCCTGCCAGGTCCTCCAAGGCTGCCAGTACTCCGGTGACCACCAGGAGCAGCACTACGACGCTTCCTTGTGTGTGTGAAACCTACAACCAAAACATTAGTGGATAGAGATTACTTTTTATTATGTGGATTGCCCGTAGATGTTTTTTCCTGGCCTTGAAAAGGCTATAGAAGGAACTTTTTCATATAAAAGTGACATGCAGGTAAATGTTGAGAAAAAAATGAATTATTGCATAAAACTGCATAAATAAAATTACGTTGAAAATATGTAATCATGCTAAATGAAGAGTCGGATTTATTATCTTTAAATATATTAATAAACACGACTATATAAAAAAGGAATCAATGTAAACAATGAATACAACTGTATTAACAGGGAAAAAAGATAACACATAAAACTAAAAATTATAATGTTTCATAATACTACGAGGTAGATGGAAACTTTCACCTCCAGGTGACCTCCTCGGGTCACCCCTGAACACCTCCCCGGGTCAAGATAATAAACATCAGCTTGTCCATGATGTTTACACACACACACACACACACACACACACACACACACACACACTCTCTCTCTCTCTCTCTCTCTCTCTCTCTCTCTCTCTCTCTCTCTCTCTCTCTCTCTCTCTCTCTCTCTCTCTCTCTCTCTCTCTCTCTCTCTCTCTCTCTCTCTGCATAGGCTGCAAGAAAGTGAATCTTTCCCATTTGACTGAGTAGTTGTATGACTTATAAATTTACGACAAGCCTCTAGACTACTTATAGTTCAATAACTAACTTAACCCTGATTAGAAGCTCTCAATGCTTCGCTGTGGTGACTCGAATGCATGACCATTGGATTACCAGCTTGGAGCGTCAATCTCTTGTAGTGGGCTTAAACAATGATACGTTTGGTAGGCCTTAATGCCATCACCGAATCAAACAATAATAAATAAATAATAATAATATATTTAACTACCGTACTATTCCTAGGCCAGATACAACAAACTAAATATAATCTAAAACGTTTTATTACAACAACGAAGCTGGAATATGTTGTTTATTATCAACTAAGTAATCAACTACAATGGCTGTGCTTATATTGCCCTTGTTTTAAATGTAATCGGGATATATTCACATTCGTTAACATTTCACAAGGCATCATACGCCGTGCCAGGAACACACCGAGTTGACCCTTCCTCAGGGCGAACCCGTCGGACAATATTATATTCCGACTATATCTTCAGTCCTATGTGAGTCACGTCAAGGGTTTTAGCGTTGAAAATAACATTGATCACATTACAATAATAATCATTCGTTCTGTGGCATCTCGGTCTGTCTCAACTCTAGCCTCACTAACACAGCTCCTTATTCACATGCAAAAGCATCTTCGTTTATACCCAAGTGTGACGTGGGTGTAGCAGGTCAGATACGTTGCTCTGGACGCAACGTATTTTAAGCCGGCAGCTAAGGCGAGTCACTGAAACAGCAAACGCGAATTTGCCTTCTATATGCATAGTTACCTAGTTACATAGTACTTACCTTGCGTACATTAACACCATAAAACTTTGTCTCGAGAGCTTGATTAGGTGATGGGCTTATCAACAGCAGGCAGGGTTATTAAAGTCATCACAATAACTTACCAACCTGCAATTATGCTTATGTCCAGAACAATTATAAGAGTAAAGTAAACTCAGCATATGTATAACTTACCATTCTGGCTAGAGCGAGAAGTGAACTTGCCTTGGTGAAAGCTGGCGATATACTCCATGCCAACGCTCACGCACTTTCTCTTATATATGAACGCCCCGGCGACCACACAACAGGAAAAGTCCCACATATAACCTGTCCCTGACGTCACTGCTCAAAATGTAACAATGAAAAGTGATATTTCACCCCAGCCCACAATCTCCTTTCTATCTCTCACCTCTTTTTTGTTTTGTTAACTAATTTTGGGGTTAATTTGGAATGACATTCTTGTTTCTAATGAAAAAGAAAAGCTAAGAGCTCCTATCCTACTTTAGTTTATCTGAAGCCTGACCCCTGGATACTAATTTATTTGATGAGCTTATTTGTATACATTGGGAATAAACTTTATTTATTGCTAAGTTATAAGCCTGTTAGTTACAGGATGACATTGGAGCTAACTGCATACTAGAGCCTTCATATGATCAGTTGACTTGATTTCACATGTATCTACCCCTGCATCTTTCAACATGTATTTACGTGTTGAGGGAACATGTTACAAAGTCAAGACAATCTAAGAATGAATAATCTCAGAAAGAGTAATGTTCCTAATAATGTCGCAGCCAGAAGGTTGATGGTCGAGTGTTGATGGTCGAGTGTTGATGGTCGAGTGCCTTGTGCTGCGACTACCAACTTCTAGTTATCCACGAAGCTGGGACCAGATTGGGGAATCTTTCCAACATTAGCCTTACTCACAATAGTAAGACCATCAATAGCTTTCCGGTGTTTAAGGCTCTGACGTACTGACATGTCAACCCAGAACTGGTCAAGACTAAAGCAGAGTCTTCTAGCACGGTTTTGTGCCTCATCCAGAATTCGGATATATATAGTAGGGGGAGCAGTTCCAGCTAGAGAATGATGCATACACACGATGGGAGCAACGTTTGTGACGTGGGATCTTGTCGTGTCAACAGTGCTGCTGAGAAGGCACGATATACGTCTAAGGTGCGTAAGTTTCTTGGCTGCCTTGCTTCCGAGGTTCAACACGTACTTCGTCATTGTCATTGAAGAGTCGAACTTCATCCCCAAGATGTTAGCTTCGTCACCGATCACCAGGTGTTTTTTACTCATCCCAGGCTTCATATCAGGAATTTCTCTCTCTCTCTCTCTCTCTCTCTCTCTCTGTTTCTCTTTACTCTTAATGAGGGTTTAATTCTTTAATTCTTTATTTAATTTAAATGATTAATTAATTAATGTTCGTTCATTAATTCTTTAATTAATGAAATTCTCTAATCATCCATCTATTGTTGCTTATTGAATATAATGATGAAATATAATGGACATTACTATGTCCTTGGAATGCAATGGGCATTGAGAAAATCAATAGGAGACATAAGGAACCGCTATGGACATTACTATGCACAACATCCACTCGCTAACAGCAAAAAATATTTACATTGTTTACTAAACGTGTAGCTGTCATTTAGCTTAATGACAGAACACGCCTTAGATGCACCCCGTGTGCCATCCGCGACAGAACTAGTAGTGAATAGTGGACCTGTATCTCCCGTTATCACGAGCATCGTGACAGTGATGCTGCAGTGAGAACAGCAAATTTTGTTTCGGCATGTCAGGAGACAATCCAAACTGATGGCAGACAAAGCACCTCAAAATTGGACTTTAAAGGCATGAGCCTAAGACAAGGTTTTGTGTAACGATACCCAATTTTCTGGGATGTCAGATCGGTAGTAAAAGATGACAGGGCAGGGTGTGGTGTCCTTATATTATATTATGACACCACACCCTGCAATTCCATCGTTCCTGTCCACCGTTCCCAACTCAGTACATTTCCCATATCAGGGAGTTGGGAATATATTGAGTTTGGAACAATGGACATGAAAGTTGAACTTCGGATTAGTAATTATATTTCATCAACATAGGTTGAATTCTGGGCCATTCTGTAGGGTTTGGATGAGGTAACTCAAGACAAGAAAAATGTTTTCCTATTTGTCAACAGCCGAGGAATAAGTGATTTATAAAACAATCTAAATCCTATCTTCATCTCCACAATCAAGGATTGTAAGAAAAAGATAAGTGAGAAAAATATAAAAAAGGACAAAAACAAAATTCAAAAAATGAGAATGGAATTTTCCCTTTTTGAACAAAAGTGAATGTTCATGTAAATTCCCTTTCATGTAGTAACAGTGGTCAAGGAGGTGGATGATGAGCTTGCCAGATGCGCCTCAAGACGACACGATAATATTATATGTGTTAACCAAGAACAAAAGAAAGTAAAAAAATAAAAATGAAAAGAACTATTCAAGCACAGGCAGCAGTGTCGAGGAGAGGAATACTACAGGAGAGACGTCAAGCCATGAAACATTACATATATGTGAGTGAAAACATAAATTTCTCTCAATGAAAAATTAAAAATGATTTCAGTGGATCTGTAGACATGCGGCTCAGGCTTGGATTTAAATATTATTGGGAACATGGAATTGGCGTTAATGGAAAAAGTATAGAGGTGTAAATGATGCGGTATGTTAGAGTCCCACACCCTCACCCATTATGTTCTTGAGTTCCCATTGATTAATGTATATAAAAGCAATGAGAAGAGGATTGTTCCTGAACAAATAGCCTGGTTGTGTTACAGTGGATAAATTGATGATATACGAATGCAGCACCGGGAATGTGAACGTCTGTAGATTTGTTTGCATGTCTAGGTGTAGCCTGAGAATTATTATTTATGTCCAAGTATTCGTATTTAGTTATAAAAGTATTTTTATGTATTTGTGGGTACGTTTAGTATAATTTTTCCTGCTTATATGAATAAATGAAAATGTATAGCAACAAGAATGTCCATTCTTGTTGCTATACTAATTAACAGACTTATCAATTGTTTCTGATGTGCGTAAATATATGAAATCGTTGTACTAAACGGAGTGAGAATAACTCCAGCTACTTTATCCTAATGTGTGTATTTATCTGTCAATAAGTTTCAATGTTCTCAACCACAGACACCCTCTTCAACAGCAGCAACAAACTTCTGGGGTTCGAGTCACTTCTGGGGTGTGAGTTTTCAGTCGCATATAGTCCTGGGGACCATTCAGGCTTGTTCGCATATAATAAATAAATATAAATATATATATATATATATATATATATATATATATATATATATATATATATATAGCCTGAATGGTCCCCAGGACTATATGCGACTGAAAACTCACACCCCAGAAGTGACTCGAACCCATACTCCCAGGAGCAACGCAACTGGTATCTACAGGACGCCTTAATCCGCTTGACCATCACGACCGGACATAAGGAAGTGATAGCCGAAGCTATTTGAACCACTTCCCCGCCGGCACTCGGATGGTAATCTTGGGCATAGCAGCATTTTATCAAATCACCTCATTCTTTGGGGCACACGTGAGGAACACAAATGCGAACAAGCCTGAATTGTCACCAGGACTATATGCGACTGAAAACTCATATATAATATAATATATGTGTGCGTGTGTGTGTGAAACGTCTGTCCACTGGGCAAGGGGAGAGGAGGGGGGGGGGGAGGTTGTAAAGCAAGAAAATGGGGGAAATGGGGAGAAAGAGAGGGGTGCGATGGAAATGGGGTGATTAGAGGAAATGGGGGAAGGAAGAGGGGTGATGTGAGCAGAGAGCGGGAATAGAGAGGGGTGGAATGGGGGGATGGGGAAGACAAAGTCTCCCAGACCCTCCCCCCCCCAGAAGTACCCCTTCTAGTACGTAATAAAGCTGACGTGGATAACTAGCTTCTGGTTATCCACGAAGCTGGGGCCAGATTGGGGGAATATTGCAAACATTATTGACCTAACACATAGTAGTAAGATCATCAATACCTCTCCGGTGTTTAAGGCGCTGATGTACGTGGCTTGTCGGATCATCAGAGCCTTACTGAACTGTCAGGTTGAGCGTGTACCAGTAAGAGTCTACAAATTCCAGTCAGAGTATCAACACTACCTGTTGTTGGGCTCGGTTATCAGTGTAAATTTGTAGCCGATGAGGAATCATAACAAAAGACCAACCCATTCAAAACAAAATTATCTATAATATTTCAAGTAACTATCTAAAGCAATTGACCGTGGTTGACCATGACATGTCCTACGACCTGCCACAGTTAACCAGAATCTAGTCATGGCCACCACCCTACACAATAACACCAAAGGGACAGGAAACAGATGTAAATAGAGGAACGGGGCCGACAGCCGAGGGAAGTGGTGCAACAGGACGCTGCTGGGGTGGAGGGGGCAGAACTCAGCTCACCTACTGCCTCGCCTGCGGGAGATCCCCATCTGATAACAGTAATGAACACTCTATAGTGGCAATGACCCCCCGGTCACTGTGGCTAGGGGCTTAATGCGTAGTTATTCTCGTTCAGGCAAGACCAGTCTGCTACACCTGGGCTTAGTAGTTTTTCAGAGGCCTCAACAGGTGTACAACAGTGGTAAACAGACATATTTGAACACATGAATGGAATTAATCATAGGTACAATTTAAATTGTGATATATTTTTGGCAAATATATTTGTAATAGTAATGACAGCAGCAGCAGCATCAGTGGTAGTAGTTGTTGTTATAGTAGTAGTAGTGGTAGAAGTAGTAATAGTAGCAGTAAAATAAACTGAGACGAGACTAAAATGAACGAACGTAATTAATATATTAACAAGTCTTTACAATATACTGAATCAAAAACTTTAAATCATCAAATTATTGCGCATTTATAATTTTGTTTATATAATGTTCATAGCCCATTGCTATAATTATACATTATAAACTGAATAATGAAAAATACAAAAAATAAGAGCTAGATACACTATAAAGAAAGGAGACCTAACAAATAACAACATAAAGCAGAAAATCAATAATAAATAAATAAATAAAGAACATAAACTAAATGCAACATAAAATTATAAACATCTCCACAGCCTCGTTATTTGACTTCAGGAGTAATCAAAATTACTATTGATTAATTACTTCATAATCAAATGATTATTGATATTTTTTATATATTTTAATAAGAAAATTAAAAATTATTTCAGAATCAAAATCGCTTTGAATACACATCTCACTCAACAGAGTTTGCAAC